TATTATAGGCCATGATAGATTTAAAATAAAAACAAAAACACACACTAGTCGACCGGTATCGTCTCCTCTCATCAGAACTGTTAACGGGGAACACAAATTATGAAGAGAAAAAAAAAGTCTGTCATGGATAACATGAATGCGTGGACAGGGAGAAAAAATATAATTATAAAAATTATACCAACCAAGATGCTAGAAGCACATCACAGCAAGTCCAAGCAAACAATCTCTTTGTTTACAAAGAGCAGGTCGCCTGGACCTGATGTACAGCGTCTCCAACACCTTAAGATGGAATAATGAGTGTGCTCTGGCCAAAACGGAAAACCAGTTCACACTGAAATCCATCGCACAAGTGGAAATCTTTATGAAGTGATCCGCAATAGAACACGCATAATATTTCTCATCAGTATATATATATATATATATATATATATATATATATATATATATATATATATATAGCAGCATAGCCCGGCGTTGCCCGTGCTTGATTCAAAAATCGTATGACTCATACAGCAATCGCTATCACTTGACTTAAAATATTTTTGCTCTTCCTTGCCTTTACAGGAGTGCCCTTTGCCGTGCTGCCGTTGCTACTTGCCTTACTTCTTGCGAATTTTTTCTAAGCTCTATACTGAACATTAAATCTGTTACGAAAAAAGAACTAAACAACTGAACACAAAACGATCAGCTTTAAAAAAAAAGGACTCACATCCTGCCTTTTATAGATAGAGATGTTATTCAGCTTATTTTATAAGCTCATTACTTATAAGTGAGTTCGTTCATCACTGGGTGCTCCATACATTTGGCCTTGTGCCACATCCAAGCTACACTTGGAAAATCACTATAAACAGATCACTTGCTTAAACATTTGTATCTATAAAAATATCGTATAAACTATATATATATATATATATATATATAATGTTAGATTTTATTACACTTTTCAATGCTGTCACATTTACCTTAGCAAACAGATGTGGGTAAAATATTTCGATATTGCATATGTAAATACGTATGCAATATCACTAAAATATCTCCGTCCATGCTCAATTTTGGATGAGGTAAAGGTTATATTATGCAAATGCAACATATTTGTATAAGTAAAGGCCGATGACATTTTCTTGCTTATTACCAACTTAAATTCTCAGATCTCGTGCGAAATATAAAAGCAGATATCGTGTTCAAATCTCGCCAATATTTAAGAGTTCCGTTATTCTTGCCTGATGACTCTTCAGTTCTGTAATTTCGAAAGTTGTTTTCTCACAACCTAATAATATTTTTTTTTCATGGTGATATCATTCTCCACCCAGGTCGTCCTGGGTATGACGATAAATTACATCCGCGTCCCGGGTAAGACGATACGTCCAACAGCATGGCCTCAAATCAGGAGGTTTTGATGAGCGTGGAACCACCTCTTAATTGCAGGTGTTCCCAGGTCCACTCTGACCCGGGGTGGTAGCACCTGTTAGGGTCCCAGCTATGGGCAAATAGTTAACGCCCAGACTACATCCTCGTCCTGGGTATGACGATAAAATACATCCGCGTCTTGGGTAAAACGATAAACTAAATCCGCGTCCTGGGTAAAACGATAAACTAAATCCGCGTCCTGGGTAAGACGATAAACTACGTTCAACAGCAAGGCATCTGATCAGGAGATTTTGAGGACTGTGGAACCACCTCTTAATTGCTGGTAATTCCAGGTCCACCCTAACCCGGGGTGGCAGCACCGGTTAAGGTCCCAGCTATGGGCAAAAT